CTGAAGAAGAAAGCTGTGTTGTGGGACTGCCCCCAAACGCAGCTTTTTTTTTTTTTTTTTTTTTCTCCCCGCGACTCGGGGATGGATGTGAGGAGGAAAATGGTGATTTTTAATACTTTGAAAATCAATTAAACTTGAACAGAATTTTATAAGACAAAAGAAAATATAGACTAACAGGTTGCTCCTGCCAAATTTCAAAGGCCTGCTGCAAATAATTATGGTTTTAATGCTTCTCAAAAAAACAGAAAAAAAAAAAAGTCACATGTATTCTTTATACTGGAAAGCAACTTGAGTTGCTGAGTACCTAGCTGCTGTTAGGTACAGAGGGTTAGTACTAGCTTCCTCTATAAAATATAGATGAAGTCTGAGTGGGGTTTGCTTTACTCGTTCTGCTCATTAATTTGCATTTTGTTACATGCTTTGCATACTGAACAGCACCATATAATTGATTTTTTAAATTTGTTCTAACAGAGTAAAATCACAAATCTCTTGTGTTAAGTTACAAAATGTACTTTTACAAAAAATGTCATTTAATTTATTCAGTGTAGCAGCAAGCCAGTCATATCAATGTTGGAGGCCACAAACATCACACGTTAGGCCACCATCTTCCATTTAATGAAAGAAATGCACAATGCATAAACCTTTTCTGGGTTATATATTTGTATTGCTCATTTTACCCTTGCAGGAAAATAGGACACCACGTAATGAGTCATTGTTCCTCTGAGTGAGAGACCAAAGAAAATGAGAAAATACAACAATAATATTAAAAATAAACTGGATTCAAAAAGTCAGTGAATTAATTAGCCTATGGAATGGAGTTTGCTAATCACCAGCCTTGCTGCTGAAAGCTGGTGCAATGAGGACCTTTGAAGGAACATCCCTTTTCTAAAGTGGCAGAATAAAGTCAAGTTACTGTAGTTCCCCAACATAGGGCAAAATAGATGCCAAACCTAATAAGTAACTATCCCATTTAATGAGTGAGGAAGCATTTCACTTCTGAGGCTTTTAACAACGCTGAAGCATAGTGACTTTGATCAACAGTTCACCGTGGCTATTAAGACGTTCTGAACTTGAGTCTTAACTTGAGCAGATGATGGGCTCTACACATTGTGCGAATGCCAGCAGCCTTCGGGATACATCCAAGAATATGTAAAACTCCCATGTTTTACTGTCAAATTGCCATCTGACACTGGAGAACAGTTTACTTTTCCACAAACACACAATGATGTGATTAGTTGGGTTGGGTCACAGTAAAGGCAGTATTGCCAACTTGTGATTTTATCTTGACTAGCAGTTTTAGGGTGGTTTTTATAACGTGTCATATGTGCTGTCTGTGAATGCCTCAAGGTGAAGGACGTAGACCAGCCCTGCACTCCGTGTGGGAGCAGGGTTGCACTGGAGGGGGAATTCAGGGAAAAGCTGCTGGTAGGTACAGAGCCCAGCAGCAACGCTTCCTGCTCCTTTGGAATGTCTCCTCTGGTTCCGGACACTGTGGAGGCAGCAGGAGGCACCGATTGATCAAGGTGACATGCATAGGCAGAAGAGTAGAGAGGAGTTAAAAAGTCAAAAGATAGACTAAAAACATGTTTTTAGTCTATTTTTTAAAATCATACGATTTTGAGGCTGTAACATGATTCTTGATCTCTTATGGTTGGCAGTACTGTGAGAGGGTTTTTTTTTTTTTTTTAATTTCCTAAATCACTTATTACATGTCTGTGGTGTAGTGACAAAAACAATCTGGCTTTAGCCTTCAGTTATTCAATTACTCCAGGCAAGAACCTTATACACAGGTTTGCCAACCCTGCAGAATTGTCCTGGAGTCTCCAGGAATTAAATATTAGTCTTTAATTAAAGATTATGTCACGTGATGAAACTTCCAAGAATATGACCAATTAAAATTGGCAACCTTTTTTTCCCACTGGTCTGTATACACCATTATGTCTTCCATTCCCTCCTCCCCACCAACTTTACTTATAGCAGAATCCTACTCATTTTAAAGCAGTTGGAGCAAACAAAAGGTCTCTGGTTGCCATTGGAAAAGTATAACAAAGAAACATGCAAGAGGTTACACTCAGAAGACTGTAAGGATCAATGACCAGGATTGTCAGTATGACGTGAAGGAATTCTACAGACAAGTGGTTTCACAGCTATCACAAGGCAAAGTTTTCCCCATTGCTCAGGATCTATTCAAGAGTCTCTTCACCAATGAATTCCCCTGCACCCCCAAACAACTCTCTGTACCACTTAAACTCCAGGTTCAGAGGGCCTTCTGTAGTACCTCTTTGTTAGTGTGCATTTCATGTCTATTGCACAGCAAACAAAAAAATGGGAGTGAAGGAAGAGGAAAATAAGGAATTAACAGACAAGTTCTCAGCTTTTTCACAAGTGCAAGGTGAAAGTTTCTACTACCACATCGTGATGGATTACATATTAGAAAGAGAAAAATGTCGTTCTAGCCAAAGAACGGTCAGGCATCACTTCACACTTACATCCTCTTGATATTTGGGGATGAGATTACACCAAATTGAAGTAGCTGTTCACATATTGTCTGTACACATTGTAAAGTTTAACAGTGTTTTATTTACTGCCTGGAAATCCTCTTCTCAAGGGGGCTAGCAGATGTGCACAGAGTTTATTGGTTATTTTTTAATTTAACAAAATAGTCTGGATACAGATGAACTTATTATGCACAACATTTACTATTAGGGTACATCTACACTACAGGGGGGAGTCGATTTAAGATACGCAAATTCAGCTACGTGAATAGCGTAGCTGAATTTGACGTATCGCAGCCGACTTACCCCGCTGTGAGGACGGCGGCAAAATCGACTTCTGCGGCTTTCTGTCGGCGGCGCTTACTCCCTCCTCCGCTGGTGGAGTAAGAGCGCCGATTCGGGGATCGATTGTCACATCCCGACGGGACACGATAAATCGATCCCCGAGAGGTTGATTTCTACCCGCCGATTCAGGTGGGTAGTGTAGACCTAGCCTTAGCAATGGCCTATTTAAGGAATGGGCATATTAAGAGTGCTGATATTACGGAGACCATGGGTCAAGTGCACAACCTTATTGCAAATCCATGGGAAATTACCTTTCCATTGACACATGGCTTGACTAGCTGCTAATAAACTGGGATTTGCAGTCCATCGGGCAAATCTGAAAGCCCATTCACTCTACAGCAAACTACCTTTGACAGAGTATGAAGAGTCTGTATCCAGTCATAGAAACCTTCTACGTTAGCAAATATTATAAAATGGTTTCAACTGCATTGAAACATAAGAAAGCATGTGCTTTTCTAAATAGATATATTACCCAATATCACCATTACACTTCTATTGAAATGCCATTTGGAAAGTTCTTAGCGATACCTCTCAGTGAATTACAACAGATCTGTGAAAACAAAAATGAAACAAAGGAAAAGTTCTGTTAGTGACTCAACAGGCCACAAAAGTTTTTGCTTTGTTAGGATTTGTGCTCTGATATAAACAAGTCCTAATATAAAAAGGTGCAAGCCTAAAAATGGAGCTATTCCCAATTTCCACATATATTCCATTCAATCTGGCACTCCTTAATTAGGCAACAAGCCCTTTTGGGTAGTTGACGCCAAAGGGACAGATCCTTTCCCCTGAGAAAGTCATTTGAAAGGGGGCAGAGATAGTTCTCACAAGGAGGGAAAAACAACAATAATCTGGCATACTCTTTAATAAGGAAACATAATATTTCCTTCTGGAATTAAAACAAGAGGGCCCCATACAAAAATTACCTCATTTCTTATATAAATTGTCCACAGGAAATGCGTCAGTTTGAAAGCCTGCCATGCTTATTTGGGAATTGTTAGCCTATCAGCTGACTGCAGTTCCACCTAGCAGTTTCTTAACTGTCAGTCCAATAATGATAAATAACCCTGAAGATATTGAATAAAAGGAATAAATTAATTTAAGTGATACCTTTCCTTGATGGATGAAATTAATGTTTATATTGTTGTTGCTTACAACTTAACAAAAGCGATCCCCCCCTTAGTTTTACTAGTGACATATATTTGTATTACCTTAGACAGAGACAGTTTTCCTCAGAGCGCTATCAGTGTTATAGCATTCTATGGTGAGAACATACCCTGTGAAGCCTAAAAAGAAACAGTAAATGTTTTTGACTGTTGGTAGTAGACCAAAAACCTGCCTGTCATAAGTTTTCCTTACAAGCTCAAACTTTGCTTCTCTGAAGTTGTGCACTATTTCAGCCTTCTTACAGCAAGACTTGAAATGGTGCTTCTACTTCATCAGGAACATTGAGTCTGCCATATCAAGGAATTGTTCTTTCTGTAATGAATTAATAAAACTGCATCTGTTAGGCCTAGTCACCTTTACCTAAATACGATCACAGGTCAGATCTAAACATATCAATCTGTTTGTGACAAAGAAAATGGAACATCATGATGGGTTTAATTTAATTTGCAATGTATATTGCAAAACCATCATAATGTAAGCACTGAACTAATGTTTCATCCCCGTGAATAAACTAGAGATGTATGAATCTTGTATAGTCTGAAATGTATAAGCTGCTAACTATTTTCTGGGACTTCAGTTGTCCTATGTGGGTATACACATAGGTTTGCTTGTATGAATCCAGTTGCAGGACTGGGGGCCTACTTTGAATTCCTGAACTTCCACCCATGCGCACACACCTTTTCCTCCACGTTTTCTCCCTGTGCTTTGCAGTAGGAATAGAAATGTATCTAGCACAGCACAGAACTTCCACTCTCTTCTCACTCTAATGCCAAGTTGGCATACATGGATAACCTATAGATTGGGTGGAGGGCGGGGGGGCTAGGGGGGAAGGGTTCAACAGAAAATGTCCGTCTTCCTCCCCCTGCTCTGTTCCTTCAGACTCCCCCTAACCAGAAGGTGAACTTAAATGTATTTGAGTCTATTAAGTCCCAATTTTGAAAGAATGAAGTGGGTTTGAATCAAGTTCCCAGCACTAGAACAAATAGATTGTTGATATTCTACATTTTTGTATGATTTTATAGTGAAGACTATTTTTATAGAATTTCTTAATCATTTCATGTGGCTGACAACTTACCTTCTCTCTTTCCATTAGGCCGTTTTTACTACCTAATACACCCAACCAAGTTGACCTATGATGAAGCTGTGCAGGCCTGCCTCAAGGATGGATCCCAGATTGCTAAAGTAGGCCAGATATTTGCTGCCTGGAAACTTCTAGGTTATGATCGCTGTGATGCCGGCTGGTTGGCTGATGGCAGTGTCCGCTACCCAATCTCCAGGCCAAGAAGACGCTGCAGTCCTGATGAAGCAGCAGTGCGCTTTGTAGGCTTCCCAGATAAAAAACACAAGCTATATGGTGTCTACTGTTTCAGGGTGTACAACTGAAAGTACCTAGAGCACAACAATTTTAAATTCATTAAGAACATGTGAAAGATTTTTTTTCAATACGAACTCATGCAAGTTACCAAAACTGTGATAAACCTTTTTTACTTACTGTAAAGAGTCATTTTCATAAGTCCAACCCTTTAATTTGGTTTGGTTTGTTAATTCAACAGATATTTTAAATTAATATAATTGAATGAAAGCTCTAGGTAAGGAAGCTTTAGAGCCAAACTCTTTAAGCCACACCATCCCAACGAAATATATTTTTCATGAATGGGGCATGCAATAGCTTGACAATTGCTAGGACTAAATTAAGGACTGTAAGGCTACTCAAAGCAGAAGCTTTTACAAGCACAAATTTTACACATTTGTACCATTTTGAGATGCACTACAAAAATAAAATTAGATCTGCAGTTTTGAAATACGGTAATTTTTTCTTAACGGGTTCAGTGAGATTTTGCAAAATAAAAAAAACACAAAAATATTTTCACAGGGGGACAATATATACAGTTTGATGAAAACAGCAACTCAAACAGTCCACAAAATAGGACTTGCTTTACCATTTAAAATCTTGCCTTTCAGAAAAATAAGCTCATACATGAGCCAATGCATAGCAAAAAGCACAACTAGATCTCCTGAACATTTCAATTGTGGTTTTTATTGTGTGTAAAACATTGATGAGTGGGTGAATAATTAACTAATGAGTGAACCCTACTTTCTTCTTAATTCAAACTGAAGATGCCTGAGAAGTGTTGTATTACCTTTGAGTAGCTTTACTGAGTTATTTTTAAACTCTAAAGGCCATTTGCTAAGCAGCATTTAGCATCTACTCAGGGCAGTTGTATAGATGAACTGCTGGACAGACAAATTGTAAAATTTAGCAGCTTGATTTTATGTTAGCCTTTAAAACGTTATTGTCTTTATAAAAATAACAAATATTTCTCTGTTATTTACACATCATGAAAGAAACATTTGGAAAAACACATTACAAATCAATACAGTCTCTACAATGAGAAAGAAAAATCTAGTCCCAACAAGCAAAGATAAAAAACAAAACAACCCCACCATATTTCCTGTTTGTATGCATATTTACGCCCAATGTATATCCCAATACAAATATTACTGTTTCTAAATCCATTAAAGAAAAATAGTAAATGTGGTCAATTCCACCTGGTTTTAGGATTGATCATTGTTAAGATTAATGGAAAACTCTAGAAATTGTTAGCAATTTCACCACAATCTGCAGAGGTCTGCATGGGAGACATTTACCTTTGTCTTCCAGTATCACAGAAAGAAAGCACTATGCACAGTGCATGGAGTTTCCTGAGGGGCTTGGGCACCAATTCTCATTAAATTAATACCCAGTTCCTCTGAATTTGATATCGGAGGCCAAGATTTTCAAGAATGACTATTGATTTTTGAATGCTTCAATTCTGGGTGCCCAACTTCAGACACCTGAAAGCAGCCTAGTTTTCAAAGAGTGGGTGGCTCAACACTTTCTGAAAATCAGACCTTAAAGGTATTTCAAGTTGGGCACCCAAAAATTGGGCCACCCAAAATTACTAGTCACTGTTGAAAATCTTGACCTCTGCAAATCCGTTAGACAACTATGAAATTCCCACCCGTATTAGTATCGCTATTAAAAACAAAGCAAATGTAGAAGTCTATTTTCCTACACCATGTTTTCTGACTATGAAGATTTCAGAGGACCAATATTTGTATTAAATGAGGTTTTACAGTTTCCATAGCTAAATGAAATATAGTGGTGGTATCCCAGTAAAACACAGCTGGTATGCTTTCATGAATGTTTTTGTGTAGATTTTTCCCCCCACAGATATGAGTAAATAAATCTATGATTCCTGAAATGATTGTGGTTCCATTTTAAATGCATGGCAGGATTGTAGTAGAAAGATATTGAATTGGTGAACATGTTGCCATTCCCAACAAGTGCAGAAGGCAAAATTCCTTCCTGGTGAGACCTTTGTGAAATATGGATATTGGCTCATACTGTCCAGGTGAAACAATGTCATTGAAAAGAAAACTATAATAATATTTACTTCCACAAGAGCCAGGGTTTCTGGCAACTCAAGCACAATGTAATCATAAGTTATTATAACATATGCACAATTAAAAGGCCAAAGCATACCTCCCTGTAGCCACACACTCTCAATTCCTTTCCCTTCAGAAGGAGGGCTCAGTTACTTTCAAAGTATCCCTTCCCCTCCCCCCGCATACACACTTCACACACATCCTCACCCCTCCTCACCACTATTTCTCTTTCTCTCTCTCTCTGCAAAGACTTTTCTGAAGGGTCTGAGGTACATTCAGGGGAAGGAGTTGGAGAATGGTTGGGCCGGGGAAGGTGTGGGCAGGACAGGGACCGGAGTAAGGCCAAAGGGATGCAGATCATCCCCCTTCCAACCCATGGAAAGTAGACCATAGAAAACGTGGCCGTATCTTTTCTGCACAGTCCCCTCAATAGTCCTGAGGGCAGCAAAAGCCAGAGGAAGTCACTCTTAACATGGTTCCAGTTCCCAAGCAAATTGTTAGTCCACTTGGAGTGATGTAAAGCCACAGAACCTTCATAAAAGTGACCCTGTCCTCCTGTGTGATCCTTCACATTTGGGGGATGTGCATGACTCTTTCATAGGGAGACAACTCACCAGACAGCTTTCTGCTGAAGTCATCTCAGCAACCTCTTTTTCCAGAGCCCTTTCCCACAGATTTCTTATTTTGGAGAAAGAGAATCTGGCCAAGGTTTCTAACTGCAGAAATGTGAACATCCAAGTCTAGATCCTTAGGTCAGGCCAAGATGCATTTGGATCCACACCCAAGTTGGGCAAGTCAGCTTTATAACACCTTTGCAGCTCCCTGATTCTGAAGCTAGCCAGCCTCCACCATAAGTTAGATTCAGGGCTATTCTAGTTTGTGCCCCACTACCCAAGCAGCCTTTTTGACAGCCAGAATGCAGCAGCACATACATCCATGGCCAGGCTCTGTACATAAGGCGCTATGATGCAGCTGGTGGCTAAGCTGGTTCTATGCCAACCAGATATTCCCCCTACAATAAGGAAATAGCTAGGTGGACAGATCCTCAAGTTTTGCAGCACAAAGGAGTCATAGCACAGAGGAATTGGGACCCTGGAATGACAATGAGCTGTAATATGATCACTGTTGGCCAAATTCTACCGTTCATTTACACCTGTGAAACCCCACAGAATATATTCGTGGTCAGGAATCAAACTCAGACCCACAGCATTGTGAAGGTCTGTGTGCGAAGTTTATTATATTATTTAAAGAAAGGCCTGATGGCTTTCTCAGAAGTATTCTAATTGAATAAGGCTAGTCTTAGCTCACCAGAGATATAATTATATCTATTTATCATTATAAACAGATAACGTTAATGGGATAGTTTGCTGGGAGCACAAAAGTATGAAGCAGAAATTAACTACACTGTAAGCAGTTTTAAAGAGAAAAGCATCCAATTATGTGTGAAATGGGCATAAATGAATAGACAAGAATTATATTTATTTTTTACAGCTACAGATGTAGCTCCATTTCACTTTTATAATGTCAAAGTTAGAAAACAGCCTTAACTTTTGAATATGTTTGCTAGGTGCTTGGATCATATCTGAAGAGGATGCTTAAGACCTGTTAAAAATCTGTGCTATTTTCTGTTCTTGAGGATATAAAACCTTCATCATAAGAATGAATTCATGTGCTGTGTTATTATCTTGTATTTCATAATGTATCTGAATTTTAATGCCCATGAATGACAATTAAATCACACTCTTTTCAATATGATGATTTCTTTTTATTGACTGGCCCTTCTTTTCTTTCCCAGAGAAGACAATGAGAAAAATAAAAGATTAAGAGTATGAAAGCACTTACTCTGGCAGAGTAAATAGAAAGTTGTCACAGGTATAGACATGGCCAAAAAAGAATCAGTCTATTCTGTCGATATAAGTTATAACCAAAAGAAGAAACAATGTGCCTTTAGTGAGCACAAAGAATTGTTACTTTAAAAATGCAGCCAAGTAAAGATTTCCAAGGTCAGGAACCAATCTGTATTCCTTTAAAATACTGGGCCAGATTCGCAGCTGTAGCTCCACTGTCTTCTATGGAGCAGTGCTGATATAGCCCCGCTGAGGCTGCTTGTAAAACTGTGTGAGCTGAAAAGACACTCTGCTTTGTTCAGAACTGTCCTGGCGGTATTTGGATGACTAACCTAATTCAGCTTTAAAAAAAATAAACATGTTTACCAAAAGAGAAGAGGGCAAATACCTAATCTTAAACTAGCATGTTAGTTATGTTAACAATACATTATTTTCTAACAATTTATTTAAACCAGTGTCTTGATGAAACCATCTTAGACTTTATGGGCTGGGCAGTAGAGCCACACCATCCACACTAGTCTACTTACATTGACACTGACAGGTTGCATTGAGTGACATCCCAACAGGCAACAAATGAGAAATTGTACCTATGTTTGGAAGCCTCTAGCGGTGAATCATTTATTTCTTTCCACCACCATCACCTCCACAAACCACCAGAGATAAAAGCTCCTGACAAATTCGAGAAGCTCTGCTGATAGGGCAGTGGCTAGAATTGGAAACTTGATTACCTTAGTCAATAAGCTCGAGTCGCTGGCATTAAAACTGATAAGGCTGCCATTTACTTTATCCACTCCATACTTTGAACAGACAGACTACCAATAATAAAGAGATTTATTGGCTATAACTAAAATTAAATCATCCTGAAGAAAGTTTTATGCTCCTGGATCAGACTCATGGGTCTTGCACATTTGTTAGCATTTTTCCCCAGCAATACTTACTGAAGTCAAGCAAGGCCATTGCAGAGCAATTCAATTCAGATGATGGATTTTATTGTGTGAGGAGATGCCAGATCTCAAATTTATTAGGGCCCTAACTGAGCCACAAACAGAGAAACAAATAAATAGTCCCCCTTTTAACAGAATTGTATGGAACAGTCATCCATTCTAAAGGTAATGTTGAACTGACAAAACATAACTGGTATTAAAACTTTTTGTGTGTGTGTGTGCCACATATTGTGAGGTTTCTTCTAACATCAGGATAATCTGAAAGGTTCCTTTTAAACCCCCATAGTTCTGTTTCTAATGATCTTTCACACCAAATTCACCTTTCCTTACTTTGCACCTTAAGGTAATCCTTGGTCTTTAAATTTTGGGAAAAGAAACTCTGCATAGTAATATTGGACACAGTATTTTTCATATTGTGTATCTGTGCCCAGACCTCAACACCTGAGCATTGAAGGAAGAGAATCATCAGTGCAGACTCCTCTTGAGTATGGTATTTGTTTCCTCCCTCTTTGATCTGAGAGAGTCTGAGTCTGTAAATCTTCAGGATAAGGTGCAAGGCTCATCTATTTCCTCAAGCTTTGGCATGGAAGTGGGTATTTGTATAGCTTAATTGTTCTTTGGAAGTTTACTTATGATGACACTGGCCAATGAATTATTGTATTGTTTTTATTTTTGTGATGTGCTCAACGACTATCTGATGGGTCCATTTAATAAATCTAACAAAACCACACAAAACCATAGCTAGCAACTTATCAAATAAAGTGTTTTTTTGTTATTCTTCAGCTAATCCTTACAGCAAAAGACTAATTCATACACAATTCTCCAGACTTAAAAATGATACACTTTGCCTCCTAGTTAGATATTTTTCTTCAGACCTCCTTCACAATTGGGATATCAAATCAAGTTTGTGAAGGGAACAGAGTTGAGATTCAAATTCAGTCAATCAGTCCCAAGAGAACCTGAACTCATTTCTTGTCATCGGACTTAAGGAGACATTGACTAGGTTTTTCACTTAGCTTAATGTTACTGTGAATTCATGAGTTAGTGCTCCAGATTTCAGGTATTTTTACTTTTAACCCACAATAAAATAAACCATCAATAACCACTCAAAAAAAAAAATCACAGACAAGGGAGGAGCAGAAGGTGGGAGCAAACAAGCTAAAGAATTGTTCACAACTTGTGGTGATATATCTTTTCAAAAATTATAGTGACAATGTTAAAATTTGAAAACCAACAGAATCATGGCAGGTGACCACATTAATCTTCCTAATTTCCATGAATGAAGTTCACCATTATATTGGGAATTGTGAACAGCCCCCAACATAGCCACTGTGCGTGGTGTTGGTGGGTTTCTGGCAGGTTCGTGATGTATTCTGCAGTTCTTCAGTTCGCCACAGCTGGCCCCATGCCAGTTTTGCATAGGATAGCATGAATGGAATATTTGGGGATTAGGAGGAGATGAATGGATGAGTGGCCAGTCAGTCCACTGTTATGGGCAATGGTAGCCACAAACTGCCACCTAGGAGAGGGCAACTCCACAGCCCCTAACCGTTACAGAGGGGCTGTCAAGTTGCCCTCTGCCTGCAGATTACAAGGGTGAATTCCATCCCAACCATCTTCTGCTTAAAACCCCAGTAAACCCACTTACTATACCTTTGTGTCAGGAATGGGTTAGGTGGGTGAATTTGTACCAGTGAAACTCTGTAAAAGATTAGTGTTCTCATACATATCAACATTCCCATCATGTTCGCCCAACTTATCATGCAGTGACCTGCCTATCTGTATCACTGATGCCCTCTATGAGGCAAAATATATCCAAACTGTTCCTTTTACCAACTGAGCCAAAAGACCTATTCTTTAAGCTCTAGTCAACATTTGTATTTTTGAAACTGAAATTCACTGCCACATCTGTGCAGGTTGTCTGATAAGTCTGGTTTTCCAGATGCATGCAGCCACACATTGATACAAATCCATCAGTATTTCATAATACTGGTTTCCAAACACCAGAAGCAATCCAAAAGGTTTGGCACACTTGTGTATGCAGTGTCTGATCCATCTCCCACTGAAGTCAAAGAAAAGGCCACCACAGCATTCAATAAAATGTGTATTAGGCCATGTTTACACACACACACACACACACACACACACCCCGCCATAGAATCACAGAATTGTAGGACTGAAAAAGACCTCAAGAGGTCTTCTAGGCCAGTTCCTAGCAGTCATGGCAAGACTAAGTATCATCTACACCATCCCTGACATGTATTTGTCTAATCTGCTCTTAAAAATCTCCAGTGATGGTGATTCCAGAACCTCCCTAGACAATTTATTCTAGTGCTTAACTATCCTGACAGGTAGGAAGCTTTTACTAATGTCCAACCTAAACCACCCTGGCTGCAATTTAAGTCCATTTCTTAAATACACACACAGTGCTTTACATATAAAACTTTTGGAAGTTTTGTTCTCAGTTCTAGGGTTTTTTTGGTGCAATTTTTCAAAAGTGTTCTGCAGTTTTTGGGTGCCCAATCTAAGACACTTTTACACCTGATAGAAGGAGTTTAAACACCCCCAATCCAGTCAGGAGAGATTCCCCTTGCACAGACCCTGGAAGACAGCTATAAAGCCACTTTCCAAGAACACCTTGCAAATCCTGGTGGGGTTTTTTTGGGGAGGGGCGGGGGGGAGGAGAGGCGCATATCAGGCATGGGGCTGAGGGCAGGAGGGGCATGTAATGGTGGGGCCACAGCACATAACAGCAAGGAACTTCCAGGCTATGCTGTGACCCATAATCAGCTGGGGAAAATGCCATATCTTAAACAAGGATCCTGGGGCTACTTAAATTACACTGTGGGCTGAGGAAAAGCCCAGGATTGGGAAGGCTGCAGTGTGCACTTTCCCCCCACACACACACACACACCATCTCTTAGGGGTGCAGTGCAGAAATTCACCCTTGTTTTTCAAAAGTCCAGAGCACGTGAAGCTCCAATTTATCTCAGTATCAAGTATCTCTGAAAATCAGGCCCTAGGGCCTTTGATTTAGAGCGACTCCATTTTTGGGTGCCCAATCTGAGATACCTTAAGTTATCTGATATTGCAGACCTATAGATGAAAGCACCCAAAAGTAGAGGCTGCTCTTGAAATCGTTGTCAGAGATATCTCAAGTTGGGCACCAAAAAATTGAGGACCCCAAACTCAGTAGACACTTTGAAACATTTTGGCCCCGTTGTTCAGAGATGGGCTCCCAAAAATGGAGCCCCTTTTGGAAAATTTGGCTGAGAGTGATTTACCCCAAACCACTCAACAAGTCAGTCCCAGAGATGGTATTATAATCTAGGCTTTCACACTGCCACTCCTGTGTCTAACTAGGCTGCAATTGTAATAGTACTGTTCTCATCTGCAGGGCCGGCTCCAGGCACCAGCTTCTCAAGCAGGTGCTTGGGGCGGCCGCTCCGGAGATGGGCGGCACGTCCAGGTATTCGGCAGCAATTTGGCGGATGGTCCCTCACTCCGCCTGGGAGTGAAGGACCTCCCGCCGAATTGCCGCCGCAGATCCTGATCGCGATTGCGGCTTTTTTGTTTGTTTGTTTTGTTTTGGCTGCTTGGGGCGGCCAAAACCCTGGAGCCGGCCCTGCTCATCTGGTTCTTTCATCTCAATGTAGCATGTGGGTACATTAGTTTGGGTTTCCAGCCATCGGTCTTCGAAAAATGTCAGGTCATTACATAAAACTAAAATTATATCCATTTAGTTATCCATGCTACATGAGCTTATTAGCATGCACTGAGTGTTGTTTATCTGGGAAGCTGATAAAATAAAAATGTTTGCGCTGTTACTGACTGCATTCAAGTATAACCAAGCTGTGCTGTACAGTTCTGCCTTAAGGGAGGCTGCTGGGTTCTGTAGATTGGAAAAAAACATACTAATCACAAAACTAATTTGCAGTCTATTTTGTAACCCTTGTTTT